GCAATGGTTCGGAGCGCCGGGCGGTCTGCGATCGAGCGTGTGAACCTGTAATCCAATACTAGCCTAACTCAGCCAGGGAAGAGAAACAGGCAGCGCTGCCGCAACCAGAGGAAGCCACCAGGTCTAATTTTACCCCACAGAGAGACTTCATGCACGGTAAAGACGCAGTGGCCACTTCAAGGACTCAACAAAAGAGCATAAAGCAATCAAAGTCGTCGTCGTCCCTTTTCCCTGGAGTTTCCCCATCATCACCACCACAAGTCTGGCGGCTACTATAATGGTCACACTACCCAAATAATTTGACAGAGCTGGTGTGTGTTAGTATACATGAAGGGTTCATGTTCCTGCATGTGGAGCTGGGGCTCTTCAGTGGAGGGTCTCCTGCCAGGAGTAGAGAGTGACAACTAAATAATATACTGTCATTTAATAGAATATTATAACATTACATAACACAAGTGATTACATAACCTATCATTTTTACATCAAAAGGGAGTGTGTTATTGCTACAATTATCATGTAGATTACAGTGATGGAAACGTAGCTAAGCACGATTAATAAAATATGGTGGTTACACTTTGCTTCCATTTGTTCTTTCTTTCTTTCTTTTTTGTTAATTTCTAAAGTGGAGCAGTTTATTGCCCTGTCACATGCAAATATTAATTTTACCAAGCTTCCAGGCATATCTTTATGATCTATATGATACACTAGCATGGGCGGATCCAGGGGGTGGCCAGGGGGGGCATCCTGAATCTGAGTGGCCACCCCTGGTACCACCCCTGGTAGAGTCAAAATGTAATATTTGCCAATATGAATGAATAGAAAATGAAAAATAATGATAAATTGCTGCCTTAAATACAGCTAACATTTTTCTGGTGCTTCATAATTGATTTCACCAAAGATGTGTGAAACCAGAAACTGTTTCTAAATGTCAGTGAAGGTAATATTCTTTTAATAAATACTGCTTCCTGTGAAATATCCCTTCCAGGCAACAAAAGCCAAAAGGCTGGGAAACATGCACAAGTATACACATGTAATGAGGAAACATAAAACCATGATTCATCAGACATGAAAACAATATTGCAATAAAATACGCTACCATTCATTCTGTAAGGCCATGTGCTGGTTTTGATTTCTATCTTGTGCTAATAGAGCTCAACAGAAAATGCTAAATTACACACACACACACATATGCACACATGTGGTGATGTGCTGATCCTTATCAGTGGAAGGCAAAAGCAACCAGATGCATAATAGTCACCACAGTGAGAGGAGGCTGCCTGGTTTGGTTTATTTGAATGAGAGGAAGCACTTAGGGCTGTTTTCATCTTATTGTTGTTGTCCAAGGGTATACACTTATAGCTGGACAGACGCACAGATGCACTCACACGTTCATCGAACTGATTATTGGTGAGCTTTGTGTGTGCTGGGGAGTGGGAGTGTGAGAGCTGCATTCACACACGTCTGAGTCCATGCAACCTGAAGCCTTTGTCACAATAAACAAAGGTGTGCATCCACATTAGTTTCTGACTGTGTGTGTGTGTGTGTGTGTGTGTGTGTGTGTGTGTGTGTGTGTGTGTGTGTGTGTGTGTGTGTGTGTGTGTGTGTGTGTGTGTCACTAGGGGGAGCTGGAGGGGGAAGGAGGAGGAGGGGGGGTGGAAGGGAGGGGAGGAGTGAGCCCTCTTGTTGTATTTCAAGTTCACCCAGAGTTCCCACGCTGTTATTTTCTGCTCAGCTGTCTTTGTTCTACCGGTCTCATCACATGTTGTGATTAGTAGGGCCTTTCAGGGGCCGCCCTTTGAAGGTGAGGGCCCACAGTACGACATCATCAAATCCCCATCCTCCTCCTCCTCCTCATCCTCCCCTCCTTTCCCACTATAAAATTGGGCCAACAAACTGACTCATACTCAGGGCCACAACAATCAGGGCTGGAGTGAAGGTTTGCCTCCATTGCTCTCTCCATTCTCGTATTCTTTTCTCTTTTTCTTTCATGACTAATTTCCTGCTTTCACACATTTCCTCTGTCTTGCTTTCTTGGATTTAATCCACTTCTCTCAATCACTAATTTGCTGTCAGATTAAAGTCAAAGGTAAATGTGCCCTCCAAATTCCTCTTTAGCTGCCAGACCCCTACTAATATACATGGTTTAGGGTTTGTTCAAAGAAATGGATTTAGAAATTAAAGACAGGAAGGTTCTGATGTTTTGGCCAGAAAATTATATGTTTCCTCTGCCCTCTTGTCAAAAAAGGTTTCAAATTTCAGTTTATTAGTTAACCACAGCTGCATTTTTTGCAGCACAAACATGTCATCAGTGCAGACATCAACTGACTCTAGTCTGTCTTACCAGAAGGAAATGGTTAGCGTTAAGTATGCACGCCAATAAATTCACCTCAGTGCTGTACATATTTTTTGCTTTGAGTGTAATTACTTCTGCCGTACATATTTACACAGTGGCCCACATGTCATCAGGTGTGGAGTTGTGTCAGTTTGTTTGGATTTGATTTCCTGCAAAGAGCTTGTGTGGATCTACATGACTGAGTGTGATTGTAAGTTAAGCTGTAGTGCTGGCAGAGTGACATTGATGAATGATGTTGATATCACATTCAGGAACTCTCAATTACTCCTTGGCCAAACATGCTAAAGTCTTGCTAAACTGTGAATCACTAAAATGTTCCTGATGGCGTCTGCCTCGTGATGTTGTGGCTTGATTTTCAAAATAACATTTTTCATACAAGTATTTTTATTTTATTTTATGTTCAGTCATTTATTTTACAAAAAATCACAAGAGTATCACTCATTACTGAGTCTGATGAGTGTATAGCATGATACAATAACTGTGCTACTTGGCTGTGTCAAAGTTGTACTGTGGGGTGAACTGGAAAATATCAGTTACTAAGAACTATTTCCTCCTCTTTGGTCAGTGAGTCAGAACATGACTGATGAGAAAACCACAGAATCAAAGTTTTGTCTCGGGGCGTAACGAACATGCAACAACCTCTATTCTTCAACTTGCAATTCAGAAAAGCACCACAAAAACAAACATTAAAAACCAATTTCATAGGAACACGAAGACACGCAAATGTCATTAATAGCTTGAAAATCTTTATAATTTGAAAATTGCCTCAGCTACAGTAGAAGGTCTGTGAACTCAAAGCCTTAATTTTATTGTTTTGTGTTGTCAGAGTTTCAGTTTTAATGTTTCATTCAACAAAACTCAAGAGATGTGTTGGAATAAACCAACTGCATCACATGTCGCCTTATAAATCTCAGTATCGGATTCAGTTAGTCTTTTGATTTGGGTCATCCTTTCTTACATTACTATACAAATGTTAAAAATGTAGCATTTTTGTAAAAGGAACAAAAACCGTACAAAAACCGCACTGTTCATTGTGTAAGCAAACCATTTCCTAATGCCAGAACCATCGAGCATCAAACATACAAAAGGCAGGTTTTTTAAAGGGCCCTTCCAGAAATGTTTGAGGACAACACCCTGCTTTTAATAATACTTTGTGCTTGATATTGTTTTTCCAAAATAGAATTAAATACACTTGTAAATATGCCTTGACAGGAAATTGACAATGTAAATAATTGTTCCTTTACCAGACACAAGATGTCTCATACTTCAGCCAAAGCTGATTCTCAGTGTTTGTGCACTGGAACTTTGAGTTTCATTAAACTTGATGCATACTGGGCTGTGACTGGTTTCTAGCTGGGATGTCACAAAATCCCAAACAGTTGTAATCTCAGATTTAAGATGAGCAAAGAGGCACTTTTCCTCTTCAGCAGGTGAATTATGGAAACATACAAACTCTGCATGAACATTACATTG